TGTACTACCAAGTCACCAGTTCTCTTCTTCCAGCTCCCCAGCTACTCCGCGTACTAAAGTTGTACTACAAAGTCGCCAGTTCTCATCTTCCAGCTCCCCAGACACTCCGCGTACTAGAGTGGTACTACCAAGTCGCCAGTTCTCATCTTCCAGCTCCCCAGAAACTCCGCGTAGTCAAGTTGCACTACCAAGTCGCCAGTTCTCATCTTCCAGCTCCCCAGATACTCCGCGTACTAAAGTTGCACTACCAAGTCGCCAGTTCCCATCTTCCAGCTCCCCAGATACTCCGCCTAAAAGTTGTACTACAAAGTCTCCAGTTCTCATCTTCCAGCTCCACAGATACTCCGCGTACTAAAGTTGTACTACCAAGTCACCAGTTCTCATCTTCCAGCTCCCCAGGTACTCCGCGTACTATAATTGTACTACAAAGTCGCCAGTTCTCATCTTCCAGCTCCCCAGCTACACCGCGTACTACAGTTGTACTACCAAGTCACCAGTTCTCTTCTTCCAGCTCCCCACACCTTCGCACTACAGTTGCACTACAAAGTCGCCAGTTCTCATCTTCCAGCTCCCCAGATACTCCGCGTACTAAAGTCGTACTACCAAGTCACCAGTTCTCATCTTCCAGCTCCCCAGCTACTCCGCACTCGACACGCACGATCTTCGCAAAGGGTTGCGCGCGGACCGCACCAATCGCACTCTCGCCTGCATTTCGCGCACTCGACACGCACGATCTCCGCAGACGGTTGCGCGCGGACCGCACCAATCGCACTCTCGCCTGCATTTCGCGCACTCGACACGCACGATCTCCGCAAAGGGTTGCGCGCGGACCGCACCAATCGCACTCTCGCCTGCATTCCGCGCACTCGACACGCACGATCTCCGCGGAGGGTTGCGCGCGAACCGCACCAATCGCACTCTCCCCTGCATTTCGCGCACTCGACACGCACGATCTCCGCAGAGGGTTGCGCGCGGACCGCACCAATCGCACTCTCGCCTGCATTCCGCGCACTCGACGCGCACGATCTCCGCAGAGGGTTGCGCGGGCACAGACCAAATCACACTCTCGCCTGCATTTAAATCGCGCACACGACACGCACGATCTCCGCAGAGGGTTGCGCGGGCACAGACCCAATCGCACTCTCGCCTGCATTTCGCGCACTCGACACGCACGATCTCCGCAGAGGGTTGCGAAATCGCACTCTCGCCTGCATTTCGCGCACTCGACACGCACGATCTCCGCAGAGGGTTGCATTTTCGGTTGACGCTGTTCGTCCCACCCTCCGCCTTTAAGAGAGAATTTATATAAAGTGGGGAAATGTGTTTCATTAGGACATCTCCCGTGCAAGTTTTTCGTTTCAGTCATTAGGACATCTCCCGTGCAAGTTTTCCATACTCACACTTACATTACACTTGGATACGTATAGACGTGTATAGACGTGTAAGTCTTCATGTTCATGTTCAAGTGTAAGTGTGGAAGCGTAAGTGTTCAAGTGTACGTGTCGAAATGTCAGTGTTCAAGTGCAAGTGTGGAAGTGTCCCTGTGTGAGTATAAGTGTAGAAGTGTCAGTCAGTGTTCAAGAGATTTTCCGGAAGAACCCTTCGCAATGCTTTCGGGAAAAAGAAACAATGAAACGATTATGAACAATGTATTCATCTGCAATCTCCACTTCTCAAAAGAGACTGACTATCTATTAATCTATCTATTCCTTATACTTATTCATATATCTATTCAGATGTCGCAAGACGCAAGAGGGATAAACCTTCTCCCGCTATGACTGCCTTGGATCTCGCGGCGGATCTCGCTGCGCTCCGTCTTTCCCCCGCCACCTGCGACGCCGACGGGCCCTCGTCGCTGGAGATCTCCGAAGGGTACTGGTACCTCGCCGCGGGGCGAGGTACGGTCGTCACTGGTCGGCCCATCTTCGCGGCGATCGGCGGTTTTCGACGCCCTGTTACTAGTAGTAAGAATGCTCCGTTCGTAGCGATGCCAGGAACCCCGAACGTAACGTCCGATCGCTCCGTTCGTAGTAAGGCCAGGAGCCCCTATGTAGTAGCGTCCTTGTTCCTATGGCTTTCGTTGCAAGGTCAGAGACTTGCTGATGATGACAAACGATGACGGCAGTCGATGGAAGGACTCGGGCGGGCGGTCAGTGGTGCGGTCAGTCGGACTCTCTGGCGACTCAACGAGCAGGTTCCCAGAAAGGCCATCCAGCTCCGGAGGTTGCAATACATCTCGCTTGGGGCAGACATTGATCCTGAGTAGGGGTAGATCAGATCGCTTAGGATCCATCTTGGAGGCTCGAGTTGCGCCTCAAACCACTGAACTGATCTTGAACTGGATGAGTCCAGGCAAACAAAAAATGACGATGCTATTCATCTTCGCGGGTCAGAGCTCGCTGCTGCGGTTTGCCGAATACTAGTATAGGATTAACGCCTGCTCTACCCATCTTCAACATCTTCAGGTTGTGGCTCATTGCTTTCGGGAAAGACACCTTTCACCACCAATCTATACCCCAAATGGATAGGTTGGTACAGCCCTCAAGGCCAGGAGAATCCAGGAGTGGGTCTGAATGCCGCTTGTTCCAGTCGCCTTCCAGGCGGAGGCTGAGCCGGTGCTGCCTGTCCATCGGTTGAAGCAAAGGAGGTGGTTGGGCTTTTGCATCCGGGCGAGCTGTTGAGCAGCCTCTAGCTACGTACATGTCTGGCATATCAGGCAACTGCCTTTAGAAAGCCATCGAAAGAAGTGTAAGGCGTGGCCAAAACGAATCCTCAGGAACGAGACGGGACAAGAAAAGGGTGGGAATCGCGGCAGGGTAGCACCTGTCTTGAAGATCTTGAAGGTCCACCCCTGAAACATCTTGAGGTCTTTGACCAAACGTATGACCTGCCCCTCCCCTCGACCCGGGAAATTCACATTGCTCGATTGCTCAATTGCCATCCTTGGAATGGCTCTAAGAGTCCTGAAATTGCAGTGCGTCTGAGCAACAACTATAGTTCTTGATGTTGATGGTCAATGTCTTGAATTCTTGTGATCCTCCAGATATAAACCAAATAAGCCGCAGTCACCATCCAAATTCCTCCACTTCGTCCCACCAATTTGCTCCGTCTCATGGCGGCGCTTCGGCGTCGTTTTCTCGTTTTGGGCCGCCTTGGACCGTGGAGAGGCCGTCACCGGCGATCGCCGCCTGACGAGTCGTGTTGCTCCAACTCGAGGAGTCAGGAGGTCGTATTGCTTCGACATGGGATCCGTCAACGAGAGGCTTTGCAAAAGGGACTTGTTTCTACTAGCAAACATATGCAAACATTGTTACTAGTAGTAAGGCACTTGTTACTAGTAGCGATGCACTTGTTCCTAGTAGCTTCTATGCTTTGCAAAAGGGACTTGGAAAAGAAAGAAAGAGAGAGCAAACGAGGGAGCAACAGTTGGAAGAGATGGGTGCTGAGAAGGTGAGGCACACGAGCCAACGCTTTAAGCGAGAGAGCTCATGTACTAATCAGTTGTGCGATATTTCAATATTTTTTGTACGTGACATAGCTAAAAAAACTGATGACTGAAGATTCAATCAGTGGACGCCTGGAAGGCTCGGGCCGACACCAGGACACACAATATAAAGGAAAGTGCTTTTTCCTGTCTAATGAATGTTCAACCTGGCCTTGGAGGGGCACATGAGGGCACTCAGACCCAACTGACCTATCCATCCCCGTCCACGTTCTTTTCGGCTCAGTCCGCCGCCACCGCCCGTGGGCGGCGGAACAAACGCCGCACACTGGCCGCGCAACACGCGCAGCAGCGGCGAGTGGTGTTGAGGAGGCCGCTGAGGCGTTCGAAGGGCAAACAATCCTCAGTGAGCAGCCAAGCATCATGCAAACATGCAAAAATCGACAGTGAATGGTCGCCCAAAACTACATGGCAAGTTTAAATTGGTAGTGCCTGGGTTGGCTTGGGTACCTTTCCAACTGGTCGGTGATCATTTGTCATCTACGTTGATGGGGATGTGGTGTATGCCTCTCATTCACCCTTGTGAAACGTCCCAGTCAGATCCGCGCGGACTCGATGTGGCCGACAGCTCGATGGTGAGGAGAACAAAACCTGATGTGGCCCGATAGCATCATCAAAAGACGGAAAAGGTGATCCGATAGAAAGCTTGGAAATGTGGAATCTACGGAAATCTGCATGATGTCAAGCTACTGCGACAGCAAACAGTCTTTTCCGCCATCATGTTGATCATGTAGGTTCTTGATACATCTTAAGTTAAGATTCTTAGCTATATTCTCTGCCGGCCCCCCACAAATACCCCCGAACGATCCTCAAAGCAAATAGAAAAAAGTTTGAACATGCCTGGTCGAATGGCTACCTGCTTGAGAAGAACTTTACATGCTAGCAATGCTAGCATCAAACTTCAAATACTGGCATTCATCCGGGTATCGGTGCAGGTGGAGGTGTGCTTCAGCAAAGGGCTGCCATCCAAATTGAGCAGCTGGTGCTCCTGATTGATGCTCAGCACATCCTTGCAAAGGCCAAGGACTTCGTAGAGCACCACATTTGAGGACATTAAGTCATTCAATTTGGGTACGGTATATCCCATTACCGGCAACAGTGAACGATGGTTAGTAAAGCTGTCAAAGATAGTGATCCTGGTCCCCTTTTACCATCCTTTTCCCGACTAAAACTGGTAATGGGGGGAGGTGGTTCGCACAGCAACTCTTCAAAGACTTCCTCCATGACTTCGTCCCCATGGTCCAAAACCCTTGGATAAAAAGAATGTGTTCCAAACGCCCAAAGCACTTCGCACGATTTTGGCAGCAAAAAGGATCATTCACTGGCGGCCACTGGCCAGTGTTTCAGTCAGAGATGCGTGAAGCCTCCGAAAGAGTCAGCTCTAGCCCCCCGCCAAATTCCAGCACCCCCAGCAGCGATCATTAGGCGCTTACCAAGGAGCTACTTGTACCTCTTCTCCAACCACCTTGGTACCATGCCATTGTCGGGACCCAGATGGGGAGAAACAAAGAACGCACTTCAACTGGAAGAACGCTCCAGTCCTCAACTTCCTATTGGACTCCTGGCCTTGCTACTATGAGCAAGAACGATACAAGGAGCAAAGGGCATCGCTAGGAGCAAGGACGCTACTAGTAACAAAGGGCATGAGCTGCGAACGAACGGAGCGGCTTGAAGTTCCTCACGAGTTCGCGGGACAGAGAGACACGAGTTGAATTGGCGTCACCTGCATGGCCAGCGGGGTCGATTCAGCTATGGTAGCTCCGGAGGTCGAGTGCGGGTTATCACTTGTTGGACGTGGCCTCCCATCGCATCAGATCAATTCGGTGGACTTCTGTTGGGCACCGAGGGACGACTTTTAATTGTGCATCACAGGGCCGTCTAGTCACGGAAGAAGGAGCCAACTCATATTCTTTCACTAGGTCACGAGTCACTATAGGTTATCTGAGAATCATTCACAAGAGGGTTTGGACCCTGAAACGTCTGCTAAATGTCGCCTTGGTGATGTCTTCTTACGTTTTCTTGACAGTGGCCCAAGAATGCAAATTCCACTGTATCTAGATCGGCCCTTGATTCTATCAACCACTCAAGGCAGAATCCCCTGCGAGGCCTAGGAAGCTCCACCCGAGTTCCAGCCAAGGTGCCGAGTAGCGCACGCCTCACCACATGCTATGTCGTGAGAGTGTGCAATTGTTCATTTGTTCAGTGCGCCCGTTGATGGAAATCAACACTGATATCATCACATTGACCCCCAAAGCCGTGTTTGCAAATCAAACACGCCCGATCTGGGATATTCTATGAAATGGCTGCCCGCCAGGCCGGGAGAAACTGAAGACAAGTTATGGTGGGGTATCCCTGACTCCCTCGGATTTTGAACGAAAATGGTGATCCGAACTTATCACCTGCTCTTGTTTAGAGAACCATCCCCAATCCCCAAGTTTGAAGGTTTTACAGGTGCACTTTCCATGGGTCGGATGCAACAGTGGGGAACCGGCCGACTCTTTGTCATTGGCAGCCAGGAGTCCGGACCGGAAGGGCGGTTTCTCAGAACCTTCCAATGGAATGGCCTCCAACCTAGCGATGGCCTTCACCCTAAACAAAATTCCATTCATCCATGTCATCACCTTGTTCAGTTCAGAAGCTCTGGGCACGACTGTTCTCTAAGCTCCTACTATCTCCTACTCAACTTTAAGCACAGCTTTTGGATGTGTACTGAGTACTGCTAAGTACTATATTATATACTAAAAACGGATCTTTTTTGGTAGGGATCCTGCCATGCAACTTGGAAGAGAATCAATGACGCTTCTTCTTTGGCGCACCGAGAGTAGGCCAAGGGCAGGGCTTTGATTCAGGGGTGGCCGGTGGCTCTGTTGGTGAAGCATATAGCTTGAAAACCTGGTGGAGAATCGTCGGATATCATAGGCCCCAGATTCCCCAAATCCGAGAAGGATTATCTGTCTCTTCCCATGATAGCATCCTTCTGTCAGTGAGGGTGCTCAGGGTCTTGTCAGAATCTTTGCAACTGCATATCGAATGGGACTTTGATGAAGCTTGTCACTTCGCACATCCAAAGAGGACCGGAAACTCCCTGGAGCTCTGCCTGGGGTTTTCTCGCAAGAGGTGTTTTTTGTTGAATGTACTTTCTTTCTTTAAGAACTGTCTTCTTTAGACCTTTCTTTCTTTGATCAGGTCCGCCCCTCAGTTCGCACAAGTGGCGGCAGGACTTCAAAAAGAAAGAGGAAGGGCTGCAGGCTTTAGGGCTGGACTCCTGCCAGCGAAGTGGAATAAAGTGGAAACCAAAAAGGCCAGCGGCGATGCAGTGCCAACTGACCACCCGGTGCGGGCCTTGGATTCCGCCTACTTGGCCTTGGGGCAGTTTACTCGATCTATTCTGACATGATGCTCTTCAGTGTCTGAACTTCCCTATGCCAAAAAGAGATCGTCTTGCCGTCTTGCTCCTCATCTTGCGGCGGTGAATAAACAATGCACTGCTTGAAGCTCGCCTGGGTCAAGGACCGACTAGGTTTCGGAGGTTTTTGGCCGGCCTAAGGGATGTCCTGCCGTTGTCTCTCAAAGAAGTCCACCGAGTGCACAGAAAATGTAACACCAACATCCCCTTGACGTCCATTGGTTGAACATGACCCGAAAAAGAGCTCCAGCATGTGCATCCATCTGTCACATCTTTAAATATTCTTTCACCCTTCCACATAAATCATCACATCTGCGGTGGTTCCTTTGTAGGGGCAACAGGTGAACATGTCAAAGCTGAGCCAACTGGTTGGGTGGATCTTGGTGGATCCGGGGGGTCTTCACCGAATCACCCCACTGGCGGGGAGCACCTGACCTGCTAAGCCTCTTGGAGACTGAGAGGAGCATCGTCCTTTTTCGGACCGATGGATTCTTTCCGTCCCGCGTGAGGTCGGAGGTGCTGCAGAGAGGCCTTTCGCAGGAAGAGCCGCAAATCCCAGGGGCCACCCACTTCGTGCGAGCCTGGGTCGTTTGAAATCCCAAGGCTCAAGGATTAAGGATGGATGAAGTGGATGAACACGTATGAACACCAATGAAAAAGCACGCCCCTGTCTTGTTTCAACCGAGGGAAAATCCTGTCTCGATCTCTTTGGGGGGGGGCTGATGGCCTGGTTGTTTCTTGGAAGGAAACAGCAAGGCTCTCCGGGATCTGCTCCAAGTCTCCCACCAAAGAAGAAGCCATGCCGGAAACGCACACGCCACGTTTCCGGCGGTGCCGGTGGGAAACTCTACTGAGAATGGGTTGAGAACAACTTGATGGCTCAATCGACCCGGGGTAGGTAGTCTGACTTCTTAGACTTCTTGTCCCCAATGGCATGCCATGGGCCCTGTCACGATCTACAGGCGGCTGCAGGTGATGATGCTGTTTTTCACGACGCGAAGAATTAGTTAGCGCTCCCATTCTGAAGAATTAGTTGGCGCAAGAAGCTGGATCTGCTGGATGTTCGAAGTGACGAAAGTTGAGCAGTTGAGCTACATGTCCAATTGGGCCCACATCTCCTATGGCACTCCACGGCCCTCCGGAGAGGGCGGAGGTTCCACCTGCCCAAATGCCGGCGGCCCGGTGCAGCTCGAGTGGCTCAGCTCAAACCTGAGTGCAGCTGGATCAGGGATTTCCGTGGAGTTCCTGCTTCAAGGGGTGCATTTCAGGGCTCTTTTGAAGATGTACATCAACAACATCGTTTCGCTCTGGACGCGGAAGGTGCTCCAACATGCCGATAAGATTGTTTCTGTGCCTGCAGCGAAGGGAATGGTCATTGACGACTATAGGTATATAAGTAGCCCCTACAGTGGCCCTACAGTAGCGTCCGATCGCTCCTATAGTTGCGATGCCAGGAGCCCCTAGTTAGTAGCGTTCTGTTTTCACGAATGCATGATTCTCCATATTAAAAAATTCTACAGATCCCAAAAGGCCGGAGTCTCCCCCCGTCCAGAGGTTGCAAGGTCCTACCTTGCGACGCAAAACATCGAGCCACCGCATGCCACATGCCACAACCCCACTCCATCACAACGACGTGTCACTTCAACTTCTCAAGAGGTCTTCATGTGTGGTCCCATGGTTCCCATGTGTTCCCATTCATTCACCACGATCGGACGTGCTTTTTTAAAACATGTCCTCCACCTTTCGGACGAGTTTGTGTGGATTGTTCTTTGATTCGGGTCTTGGTCTCTCTCAAGGTGATCCACTTTTCCTGGGTAGGCTTGGTGACTACATGAACCGAACCCTCCTTCTTTTGTCGCCATGGCACCGGACCTCTTGCTCGCCGCCACTGACCTCAGCACCACTCGAGAAACTTGAAAAAAAAGCTCGGGGTTGCCTGTTGCACACTGGGCTAGAGGTCTTAAAGGCAAGCCATCCTCCAATTCACCAAGTTCATCTCTGAAGAGTCCTTGTTGAAACCTTGAGCACCCAACCAGAGCTGAAAGAAGTCACTTGAGATCCCGCTTCTACCATGTAGGCAAGCTGAGCAACTGTGTTGCCAGAAGCTGCTGTAACTTGCATTGTTGAGTTTGAGAAGTGGGATGTTTTGGCGAGATTAATTACCATCGATGCAAAGAAAAGGCATGAACAATGAGCAAAAGTACCAGAAGCATCCCATCCCAGCCGTCCTGATACTTCCCCGTGCCCTCTGCAAGCAAGATACTGCCACTTGGAGTGTTGGAGCACAGGCCTGCTCCAGGTGCGCGAGCCCCGATTGCGACAAGGCACAGGTCACCTGGAGCCATCAGGAGCCACCATCAGATCGGACCCCATGGAGATGTGCTGATTTTTCTGACCAGCGAGGTCCTATGATTGATTTCGGTGTCCTGCACCGGTTTTCTTTTCACCAGCAGCCACACATCGGAATAGGCCAAGTAGGAGGTTCCTGAATCATTGAATCAGGGAGAGGCATTTCGCAACTAAGGGAGAGAGAGTTGCCAGAGGGAGGGCGCTGAATAGCTGGCCGCAGTTGCTTTCAATGCCGTACTTCCCAGTTCACTCATGTAGGCCCTCCTTGGGCTGCACACCGACTACCAACTGGGGGAGGCATCACTTCGGCCTCAAAATAATCTGCCTTTGGTTCCTCCGGGCTTGCATGAAAAAAGGGACATGGTCAGCTCACCCAACAGAATCTATTCGTCCCCGAACCCGTCACCGTTGGATCCAGTGGCCGCGCGCATCAGCTTCACGGTGGACCCGCCCAGCGTGATCCGCAGCTGGGCTACGAGGCGGTCCTTGCGGTGAAGCATCCGCGGAACCGAACCGGAAAGATTATGAAATATTTCCCAGAAATAGGATTGTCTCATGATTTAACCGGGGTTTTCATAGGAGAAACCTCAAGCAAAACTGGGACACGGCGGAAGCTTTGACAAGACATCGGAAACTCACTGCTCTTGGGACGAAAAAGCTGTATCCTCCGACCATGGTTGCACTACTACTTGCACCTGGTTGCACTATGTTGCACTTGCTGTTGGGTGCGTATTGAGTTGGTTTGCAGTTGACACCTGTGCCCCATGGGAATCGTGCGCTTCTTCGATCACTTTCGGACCTCCGTTCGCATCACGCCCAGCGGATCGTGTCATGCGCGGGGAGCGATTTGTCAGGAGAATGCTGGAGGGTTTGAAAACTGTTCACCAGCGTTTTTCCCAATAACGGAAAAAGCATGAAGAAGCCGTCTTTTTCCGTGTGAAGCTTGATCACCACCCTTGGGCACGGGTCAACGGCACGTCCGTGTGCGAAGTTTCGGCGCGAACGTTCGACCTCGACACTTGTCAAGGCGGGGAAAGCAAGCGAATCAACTACGAAACTCACCCATCCTCACGCCAAACCAACTGCAGCTGGCTCAGCTGACCGCTAATCACAATCAACGGCAAGACCTTCACTCCAAGCATCTCCAAAGTCCCTCTTCAGGACTTCCAAGCCATCACCTCCAATGGATTGGCGCGGCTTTGCCCGGCAGGTGACGATGTGTCATGCAAGGGAAGGGAACGGAAGGTGACGGTGAAGGAGACACTCAACGAAGTGTCGATTCCCTACAGCCAAAGGGACAAAATATTACTAGAACCAAACACTGCTGGCACGGCGACAGTGACAATGATCGAAGTGTCATTGATGCTTCTTGATCGTATAGCTGTTTGGATCTGGATGATCTGTTTGGGCTGGGCTATGCAATTGCTCCCAGCCTCAGTCCCTCCCCACAGCGCGGTGGATCGAATCTTGCCACAACACCATACAGTTTCAGCTCAGAATGCTTTGAGCAATTTCCCCCAATCCAGGACCATCCAATTGCCGGTCGCCAGCCGCACGCTGCTCAATAAACCCCGCCATGATAGATGGATGATCGGCTTGAACATCCAGGAAATGGTGTTTTCTGAGGCTAATCACTTCATAAATCAAGCTTCGGCCTTCCCGAAGGACTCGCACCCCATCCGACGCGGACCAACACGGCGGGTTCTCGACACCTCCAACACGGCGGTGGGCCCCGGCGCACTCGCGCGCGAAGTCGAATTCCACCCCGTCCTCGGAGGGAAAGGACTGGGAAGAAAAAGTAGATGTAAAGCATTGACCTTTCCTGCCGTAGCCGGAATCTTGATGGTACCATTTGCTTTTGCGCGGTGTTGGAGGCCGCGACAGTCCATATATGTCTAGTTGCTCCCCATTCAGCTTGCGAATTGGGGGCGCGACAGTTCTCAATCGTGGCCATCGACCAAAGTTGGGGTTTTCCAATAGGTCTTCAGCGGCCAATGACGACATCGAAATTCATCTAGCTTTCAGTGTGTCAGTTGTGTGCCTGACCACTTGTCACCTATCCTGACAATGCCTGGAGTGAATCAACCATCGTGAAACCAAGGTAGTTTTTCCCTTTGGCCTTTGGCTCAGAAACATGCATGAGTTAAGTTCGAATAAATAACTATATATACTGTATATTATATATATCTATAACAATAACTAAAAATAAGATTAAGTTAATTAGTTGAGTTATATAAGTTAAGTTAATTCTAGTAAGAACACAAAATAATCGGTAAGTCCCTGCGCTTCCAAGCTGCGATGACAAAAAGCTCCCTGGGCGCATCCAACAGCAGCTGCTCGCACACCGCCAAGTCCTTCCCTGCGCCGTGTGCGTCGTTTTTGCATCAACGAGCACCCAGCCACGTCCGGTCTGTGGCCAAGCAGGTTGATCCGTTTCAGTTCACGTATATCAATCATCCGCACAGCAAATGGCTAAACAACAGGAGTACAAATCAGAACTCGTCACCAGAGCCTGCCCACACCGCCCCACAGCTCCCACAAAACAGCTGCGGTCATCTTTGTCCCTCCATTCCGCTCCCTTGCGCCCTACGCGGGTCCAACAGACACCGCGCCCACACCACCTGGTCCAGGAACCGTCAAACGCGCGCACACCGCCGTTTCTACCGCGAAACGCGCGTATAGCGTGCGCCTGTGAAGGTGTCTTCGGAGCGGCGCTCCTCAGGCGGCAGGGACAGGTCCTCGAGGTCGATCTCCAGGAGATGCCTTTCTTTTCGACGCGTTTCTCAGAGCGATCGCCTCGTGTTTTTTGGGGGGGCGGAGGAGGGGGGGTGAACGGATGAGATGGATTGGAGGGATGGACGCCACTGGAAGCCGAGACAACGAGACTGGGCGGAGTTTCGGTTGGTCACTGGAGTGAAACGTGAGCTTTTTGGCCGAAAGAAGCACTTCCAAGGCTGGATTCTAGAGCAACTTGGTACCGGAAGGGATCGGGGGAGTAAAGGATTACACTGGATTTCAACAAGCTCCAATGTGCGTGCAAGAGGCTGCAAGGCAACCACTTCAAACCTTGGCTTTCCGGCACGAAACTCAGCAAACTAGTTGGCAGCACTTGCGCCGTACAACGAACAGGTTGACCATCCAAGCCACCCAGGACAGACCACAGGACATACAGAACCAAACTACCTCCCACACCTCACAGGATCGTGAGGGTCATGTTCCCTTCAAAGGAGGTGATGCCTCTCGGGCGAATCCTGCTGTACTGTGTCTTTTGGACACAGGTCTCTTGGACGTTCCATGGGGTCTCACGGAACGAACAGGATCCATGCCGGCAAAGCTATATATGATGCTATATGTGTCTTGGAGTTGGGAACTGGGAACCCCCAAAAATCCACTCAAACTACCAACCCACTGAGCTGGGCTCCCCTGTGGTAAGACCCATCCAAAATCATCCAAATCCTTGCAACAAGACTTGAAGAGAATCGATGAGTCTACCTCAGGAGCTCACCTGTTTCACCCCTCTCTGATGGCTCAACTCTTCCATCCGCGTGCCGATCGTCGCGGCGTGGCGCCCAGTCACAGCTCCGTCGAGCGCAAGGTCCAGAGTTCCGGGTGCCGCTGCAAGTGCCGATGGCCTCGGCTCGCCCTGGAAACCACCACGCTGGCATCGGTGCGGCGAAAAGCGAAGCCCTCACAGTACGAGGGAAGTTGAGGATCCCCAAAACAGCCAGGAGCTGAGTTGGAGGGTGCCTCTTTTTGAGGCCAAGCCCCATTTGATGCACGACACATCTGGTGATTTACTTGAAGCCGGCGCCAAATACTCCCACGATCTTTTGGCTTTTCTAGACTCACTGAACGCAGTGGCGGATATGCAAATGCTGTGCTCGAGGTGGACCCCAGTCGGTGCATGGTGCCTCCTCACCCAGCTGCAAGCAGCCAAATAAGCAGTAGAAAAGGTCGGTCAAAGCCTCTCATTCTTCCCAGCTCCACGCTGTGGGCGCTCAAGAAAATGGTCGACCACGCTTGACCCATGTGTTTTCAAACTTTTCAGGACAACACGGCGGCCCCCATCACGGCCGCTGCGGCCCTCCCCATCCGCTGGGCCGCCGGACTGGCATCTTTGGCCCGCTCACGGCTGTCCTCATTCAGGTAGAGCTCCTCAGAACAAATTCCAGGGTGGCATGGAGGGCCTACCCTCAGCCAAAGCTAATTACAGGCCTGGCCAGTGCCTTCTTGAAGGCCGAAAAATGATCAACCACCACTACATAGGCGTGGTTTTGAGAAGTTCCACCCGCTTCCACCAACACCCTGCTGATGTGCTAGTGAACCCAGGATCGATTAGACATTGGCAGTGACATTGGCGGCTCCCCCACAAACACCTGGAGGCTGAGCCCTCGTCCTTTCGATGCACACGAGTGCACATGGGTGCAGCCCGAAAGCAACACGGAGGCCAGGCAACACACCCAGCCACGTGCCATAACTGCCATCCGGGCGCCTGCTTGTTCCATCGTGTGAAGTTTTTCGCTCCTTTCCCCCGCTCCAGCCGCTCACGCTCGCCCTGCGCTTTTTGCAGCTGGGCCTTCGAAAAGGAAGGAGGATGGTGACAATGTCTGTCTGAAAGGTGTGATGAAAAGTCCGATGGCTTCTGACTCCCTCAGTGTCCCTGGAAAGAAGATTCACCCTTTTCCTCCTGTTTTTGTTCTTGTTCAGTGGCAAAACCTCCAAAAAAGATGCTTAGTATATTGATGTATATTGTATAGGATTAAAGGTCCTTATCTATGGTGGTTCTTTATTTCTTTACTTTTGGGTAGGGCTTGGTCAAAGCACCGAAGAAACCGAAGGTCGAAGGATCTCGCCTGGTAAAGCCGATCCACGGCGCGCAGCACGTGGCTGGGCAGGGCTGGGAGAGCCTGGCGCAGCGTTCGGACCCTAGGGAGGGCCTACAGCCCTCACGTGCTCAGTATGTAGTTCAACTTGGTGAGAACTGTGGAAGATCTGTGGAAGATCTGGAAAACTGTCTTTGGGAGAATTGTTCTAAATTCTCTTGACTTCAGGATGGGCATGAGACGCCATGAGTCATAGTGATTCAAGACTTGTAGACCCGAAAAAAGCACCCGAAGCTATAAGATTCCATGGGATACACGAGAGTGGGGAACTTCCCAGGACTCCCCGTGAGGTTCCACAGGCTGGCAGGAACGTCTCGTGTGCCAGGAATCTCTTGCGTTTCAGGACCCAGACTCACGGCAACACATATCGTGGAGCTTCAAACAGGGTTCGATGTGAGCTTAGCCAACTAGGCTCCACGCCTTCCTTGGCCATGCGAGCTCAGCCAGCTCCACCTCCCTTGCCATCTCATGGGCGCGGCCAAACAGCTCGAGGCGTGCTGGTCCCCAGGTGCTATGAGGTGCTGGTGCACGTGCATCTCGATCAAGAGCTAGGCAGCTTGGCTCTGAGGACAATACGGCAACAACTACACTGCCATAAATAGTATTTTCGTGGCACTCAAAATTGTTAGTCTGACTCTGACACTCTCCTCCACCAAAAGAGTCACAAGGTGACTGCCGACCTTTTACTGGCTTGGTGAATCAGATGGCGCCGAGCAAGCGACATGGGCAGGTTGCATGAACCGCTCGGAGTTTCATGTCTTTGATCCAAATCGATTAATCGGTATGAAGGGCTCAAAGCTCTGGTGTACACCTGCCGTTCCAGCAGCTGAGCCACACCAAGCGGACAAAGATCAAGCAAGTCATCATCATCCTTCCAGGAGCTTCAAAGCTTGGGGGTGGAGGCTTGTGCCGCTAGGTGTTCACCAAACAGACCTCCAATCACTCCTTCGAAAGGCGGTCGAAAGGCGGTCCAAAGGCCGTCCGTTCGATGAACGGAGACCTTTCCGTGAGTGACCCGGTATGGGACACTGGGGCGACCGGAGATGGAGTCATTCTCGAGTCACTACAGGACATCGACCCAGGGCTATCCTGTACTGTAGATCTCGTAAGCAAAGTGTGTATGCACCATGTGCCAAATCTCACCGCCTGCCTGGCTTCGGTCATACTCGGCCGTGGCCTGGAACCGATCATCGGAGATCGCCCGAGGATCTTTGGTGTTCAACAGAGGTAAGAAAAGGGAGTTTGGGGGGGGCACTACTTGCAACAGGCTTCGCATGGCTTGACCAACGCCATCAGCAGCTATGGATTGCGTTTCGACCACGGGAGGTTCTTGAGTTCGGCACTCAGGTTGCTACGAGTTGGCGCCTGCGCTGACAAAAAGCACATGCCCCTCAGCCCTCCCATCGGCTCATATTTGGATCAGCCTCCAAACAGTCCAGCACCGAAAGCCCCATGCAATACTATCCTTATATCATGGACCGTCGTAGGAGAGCCTGTGTTGCTTGGGGAAGGAGTGGCTGCAATCGGAACCGCCGTGACCGAGTTCCCGCGCCGCGACCGACTCGGCGGTTCCGCCGAGCGCCTCCGAGACTGGCTGGGAGACCCCGAGGCTGCAAGGAGCACCTCCGACCTTCGCGAGTCCTAGCAGGTCACTGCCTCCAAACCCGCGAATGGGTTCAAGCTGGTTCAAGATGTCAGGTTGATGGGATTAAAAGAGACGTACATGCAAAGCAATCCAAACACATCAATCCCGTTCTCCCAGCTTGGTTGCACCGCATTGGAGCCACATCTCAAGGAGTTGTGAGTGGGTACCGGGTGCGAAATGGTTATGCTCAAAGGCAAGGACTCCAATATCGCAGGGTCCACAAAAGGGTTCACATATTCGGATTCAAACCAAGGATTTACCGTATCTATCCAATGTCTATAGGATCTGGTATTGTGACTCCTCCTCAAGACACTTGGGATGGATCATGAAGGATCAATCGAGGGGAGTAACGAATGATACTCTGAGGTAAGTCCACCACCCCACCCTGACAGCAACTTGACCATTGATGACGAATGATGTTGACCTCCTTCCGAACTCCACTCTACAGTTGTGGGATGCGGTGGGCATAGAGCCACGCCGCATATCTATGTGCACAACATATTTCTCGGCAAGAAGTCCCAAAAAATGCCGTGGTCTCAGAGCACCTAGAGAACCAAGAACCCCTACAAATGTCATACCCTGAAAATACACGAGGTGTTCAAAGAAAACACGAGTTTTGTTGACTTCCTCAAAACGATACGATTGCCTTCGGGATTCTACGGGTTTCTACGCATTTCTACGGGCTCTCTACGGTTTCTATACGGATTCGAAACTTAGTGCTTTTGGGAAAACGAGGTTTCGACAGAAACACAATGTTTAATTATAAGTCAAGTGGAGCCAAAACACGATGTTTTCATATGCTTTCCATCAGACACGACAAATTCGTAGGTTTGGGGTTCCATAGGTAGAGTAGATGGCACAATCTCCAGAAGGTTGTTTGGATGGACCCGCATGGACAAATATAGACATGTGGGGCTTTGTGCCATCTGAAACCACTGTACATCCTTGGGAGTCCAACACCCTCAGAAAATGGGCCGGACAACTGGGCGATTCAGCGGCGAACGCGTGGTTCTTCGCTCGCTTTCGCTCCTCCTCGTCGTCGAAGTCCACAGGATCCGCGTCTCGCTCCTGGGCGAGTCACCGCGTGACAAACTCCCAGTGCGGAGGATGTGCTCAAGCGGTGAAGGGCAACCGCCGTTCGGAGTTGCCTTACCAAAAATACAAAGGACTTTCAACCCTTTCACCTCAAACCAGTTGAATATGATCAGTCACGTCCCTCTTCCATCCTCTTCCATGAGCACCTACTAGGCGCCATCCAAGTGTCAAAAGGTCCAACCGAAGGCAAATCCAAAGTATCTAGAGCGACGTCGTCCTGGTAGTCCATATTCTCTCCGCCCCCATCAACGTATCCAATAAAAACGTGTTTTCTTTATAGATATGATAGCATATAGTCTTATAATATTACAAAAATAGTAATATTTATATATATATAATAATATATATATATATACATAGAGAGATTGCTATACAGTACTACATCCTGCCCCCACCCCCAGAAAAAGGGACCTGACTGTCCCCATCCCATCACTCCTCGGACTCTTCAAGGTCCTGTTCCTCCCGGCACTTGGGGTTGGTGTTTGGACGGAACTGCGGAAAGGGTCTGGCCTGTGGGGGAGCTGAACAAGCGACAAGCATGTTTGGGAGAAACATCTGATCTTTCCTATTGCAGGTTTGTGGCGCTTTGCTTTCTGTATATATAGAACCCAGGCCATTCAAGGACCAGGCTTTGATGTGGGGCAGGTTTGTGGTTTCGCACCCAGGAAAGACATAGCCACTGCCAAATAGGGAGGGATCATTCGGAGGTCAATGTGTGAGCACAACCGCCGGAGTTGAGCACAGAAACGAGCAGGGGATGTTGTTTCCTTGAAGCTCCATTTTGGGTTTCCATGCAAGTCTAGCTAGACACGAGCACAAACTCAGACTAGGACTAGGAGGTACAAATGAGATGCTGGCTACGAGCGTTTAGGGCAACCACTTCCATGTCTGGATCTGCTGATAGCACCAGCAAAACAGCACAGCGTTCCAATCTTTTCATCCTTTGCTGTGCCCCTCCTCCTTCGCCAAATGAATCCTCCTTCCCGATCTAAGAACGACACGCACCATGCATCTCTTTCGTGGGCAAGTTTGCAGCAGACACGGTTCAGTGAAGCGGATCAAGCGTGTCAGCTGGCAGCGGCCCCCGCCATCGCGCCTCCTCGACCTCGTCCGAAGCACTGGGCTCCTCGGTCCACAACAGTCCGGGTGAACTGGGGACCTTTGGGGCCAGAATCCGAAGATCTGGGTGAAGCCTCAATGCCACCGGTGGTTGCAGGATGTTAAAAGCTTCTCCAAGCCATACCCCTCCAAGACGATCCCCCCAAAAAAATGATACCCCGATGATTGGCACCTAGGAGGGTCCAAGGCCTCACGACCGGAGCGGTCCTCGATGACGCGCCGGGCGTGAAGAGTGGGCGCATCGCGCCGCGCCTGTAAGCGCCTGAGGGCGGCCGACAGTGGCTGTCAGTCATTCCTCTCTTGGGCATGGCATGGCCGCCAGAGTTGGTGTAGTGTGTGTCTTGTGGGGCCACCTTTCATTTCATGTGACGCAAAGTGCTCGGCGACAAGCTCAGCGTCTTGCTGTGCTGAATTCTATTAATTACGTGCAAAGTAGTCCGGACCGGGTTCCTGCAACCGCTGATCTTCAAACGTCAGCACTAGGTCACGGAGCCACTTCGTGGTCTCCAGGAACTCTTCGGTCCTATTTGGTAACGAGTCCAACCATAGCTTGAAGAGGGCCGCACCAAAGGAGCAAAACTCCGGAGGGTACTCCTTCAAGTGAGTGGTTTTCCACTTGCCATCTTTCAAGCCGATGTTGGACCCTTGGGCACAGACAGGGTTGCGCATAGCCCGCTCACACTGCGCAACCCTGTCGTAGTCAACTCCAGCAAGCATAAGGGTCGTAGGTTTGGGGCTGTCCGCGCCAAAAAAACCTTGGAACACGTCCAAAAAAACCACCAAACGAGCCTCATGCAACCAACGAACCACTTGAGTCATCCAAATGGAAGGTGCTTTGGAGTGACGTGTCCCTCTTTTGTGGGGATTTTCGGGGTGTTCAAGCCATGCAAACCCCCCTGTCAAAGCCTGAAGCAGAAGTGCTTTAAGGCAAAACAGCATCAGGGTATTCCCGATGGAAACTTGTTGCCCTTCCCTTTTGGAAAGATTTCCTAAGCCCCACAGCTCTGGATCACACCTAATCGGTCGTGGACTCCTCCTAATAGTGTCCGGGGCAGGTTCCCAGCGAGCTATACTCCACGACTCACATCCTCCATAGAGTCCAGCAACAAAACCACCCCTGATGAGGTCATACCAGATCTTCTGTTGGTGGCTTTGCGAAAGGTCACATCTGTTTGGGTCGATCGCCACGTCGACAGAGACCACTGTCATAATGACTCCCTGAGGGAGTGGAAGCTGCTCTAGTTCCATCTGGATATCCCTTTCTCGCCTTCTGCCACTGAAAAGATGGAGAATGATCAGTTCTTGCGGCAAGAAGCTTCGAAGTCTAGGGGGACCCTGCGTGCAGGATACCCTTTTGCGACCCTCTTCATCAGCAAAGATCATTTCGTCCTCTCTGGTATCATGGAGTGTGTTGTCCTGCTTTTCAAACTCCTGCAACCAAAGAAGTACTTTCTGACCTGCCTGATAAATTCGTTGATCAGTCTCAGCAACCTCCCCCAGCCAGTCATGGAGCACACCACAGATCTTCTGGAAAGGTGCTGCAACACGGCAGGCCTCTTGGAGTGCCTCAAAAAGTGCGGTAGAAAACTCATCATCTTGATCTGGGCAGTGAAAAAGGGTGACCGCCTCTTGAAGTCTATGTCGAATCAACTCAATATCCCGAGCAGGATCAAACAGTCCCTGCCTGGTTTCAGTTGACAACTTAAACCATGGAAATTGTGGATGATGCGACAATGCTCGAGGTGGCGCTGGTAAATTCTGCCCAAGTCGTCTGAAATATGCCCTGCAGGAAGCACTGTAGCGAAGATGATGTCGAAGACGCTCTGTAGTCAGATACACTTTGGCACAGCAAAAACAAGTCTGACCTTGTGCTACTGCACTAGATTCGCTTATATAGCCGTGCTTCTGGGATGCATGCAAGACCCACCCTTGCATGGCGGTAAAGGAACGTTCACAGATAGTGCAAATATGTGCACCACATTTGGCTTGCCTCATCTGACTACAAAGATTATGTTGGCGGAGAATGTCATGAATCGAACGATGTTCCCTCGCAACCTCAGCTGAACGAATTCTGGCCTGCGTTCCGCGAAAGAGGGCCGTTCGTCCAAAACGCGACCAGAGTGCCGGCTGTCTCGCGAGATGAAGCCATGCCTCGCCATTCAGTAAATCATGAATGACACTATAAAACGTGTACATTGGTTCATGTTGCATCGAGAATTCCTTTTGCAAGAATCTACGAAAGACATCATCTGCCTCTAAGAGACTAGGAATCGTGCAGCTCCCCTTTGAGGAAGGGAGGTCTGCAAGGGCTTGTTGGAAAGCATCCTCCGCCCTATCAAACTCCAGCTGCCATGTAGTATGCGATCCTTGCATCAGTGACGAAAGATCATGATCATAGCCGCCAGTGTCTCCATTCTGTTTCAACTGCAGAATTTCTCTCATGCTCCGCACTATCATCACATGTGGTGCTGCCCTCGGAAGTGTCATCCGGTTCGATTTCAGTCATTCGAAGAAGAATTCCACATACAACGGCACAAATTGATGCCATTCAAAAAAGGTAGCTCCACATCGTAAGGTGCATTCATTCCTCCAAACACACTGATTTTGGGGATTCACTGCCGCAAAAATCTGTTAGACCGAAAGCCAGTTCTGGGCCCGAAAAACAAAACTGGCTTGCCGGACACTGGTGCTCATCTCATACTCAATTAAGGCCGGCACCAGCCCCACTCCAACATAAGTTGTGACAATGAAATGTGGCTCCGGTCCTCTCCCACTACTTGGGGTTGGCCAGACAGGAAAGATATAACAAGCCCTTCGACCGAAGGCATGAACCCACCTGCTACGAATATTGTGTCCAAGTGGCAAATCAGGGTTATGCGTCACAATCCTCAGATCCCTTTGCGTAGCATGTATGTGTTCTGCATGGTGCATCCAAGTCAGAACATCATATCGGATATTGCCACCTAGAACACGACGAACATGACGAGTCAACATGTCCTCCATGATCGGCCGGACTTGCATCAGAAAGTTGGAATCTTGGAGAGGATCAACGTCATCAGCATACGACAGCCTCTGTTCGATAAGCTTCGAATCCATGCTGGGACAGCTATCAACTCTCGACACCTCAAAATCAAACGTTCGACCTTCACCGAATGTCAGCCAATCATGTCGGCCATAGAACTGACCGAGGCTAGAGTACAGGACCCTCATTCCATCCACCAAATCTCCCGGGAGGGAATCCTCCAAAAGAATTTCATCGAAAGGAACCGAAGTTTGCAGGCGGTGCGACTGCAATGCACATCCCTGCTCATCATCAACATGCCATTGAGATAATACAGGAGTGCCTGCAAACTAGGCCACAAATCGATGATCAGGTGAACTTGTCCATTGGGAACTGCACTAGTAGGCTGAGGATCAACGAGAATTAAAGAAAACGATTCTCGGCGGTCCAAATGCCCATGCCAAAGCCTCTCGATTTTGGATTGCAAACCTGGAGCTATCCCCTTCTTCTTGCCATACACAGTAATCGTTTTCGTAGCAATGTGTCTTCCTTTCAATCCATGAAAGTACAGATGCACATCCGAGAATTGTGCCTGCCTTTCTTTTATTTGATTCCAAAAACGATCCGGAAGAGCATCAACTTTGGACGTGTCAAATTGCTGTGTAGGACTCCGGTATCCACCTGCATCAGACCACTGGCTTCGATGATAACTTTGCATTAACATCATTTCATCAGATGCAGGAGCAATCCAAGAATCTTGCAATAAATCCAATCTTGATAAGGGGTGATAGGCCAGAGGGTATGAGCCACCAAGCCCTCTTGTTAGGCGCCCATCATCACCCTTAGCGCCATCCGTCATCCGTGCATTGAACAAAATTGGCCATGAAGGGACAACACTTAGTGGCTGTCGCCTGGCCCAAAAATGTTGAGCTCGATCGAAACCAATGGCTTCATCACATCTCCGTGCCTGAGAAAGCGGTGCGTGCCGCAAGTCCCAAGAGCAAAAGCCTTCTATGCTGCTGTCAGCGCAGCTGTGCTCCAGTGAGCCTCCACAAGGCAAAGAGAGGTTCACATATGATCACCAAACGGAAAACAAGTGCACAGAATAAGAGCACGTAGTCCCCAACCTCCATAGAGAAAGCGAGATCGGCAAGCAGTGGTCCCTTCAGCCCCATGCAACAAAGGAATAGAGCATCTCTGTTGCGCAAAAGACCATACATGCTTACCAAGGAGACCTCCGAAGACAACACGAAAGGACAATGACGATCCCTTTTGGATCCAGATGAGGATATGCACGCCCCATGCTCGTTGCGACATTGACCCCTCCAGTTCAGCTGTCTCAGCCATAGAAAGAAGCATGTTCAATACCGTGAAAGTGCACCCAATCCAGAGTGCAAGGTAATGAGCATGATGAATCAAAACTCGAAAATGGCTATCACCTGCCCAGCAAAGGATGCTCTCTCTCAAGATCATTTGGAGTTCAACAGTCCAAAGCACCAGTAGGCTAGCCAATAAGAAGGCAAAGAACGATGAAGCCATACAAGCCATAAGGATCCCATACAGACTTCCTTCTTGCCCCTCCACACTCATACCTCGGGGAAACTGTGAAGCTTCTTCATCACGAAGACCCGGTCCACAGGTAAAAAGGGATTCGCCAATGCAGCTTTGAAAAAAAGCGCAAAAAGCTCCTCCAAGGACAAAACTGACCTCATTCAAAATGGATTCCACAGTGCTGCTTTGAAAATGAGCGCAAAGTGCATTCCATTCACCAAACCATATACATCCTGCAACAATCTCCATGTATGTCGAACATCTTGAGAAAATCGGAAAAGGTCCAAGATCCCATCCACTGGAAAAGGGACAATCTCAAGCATAGACACATAGAGGGCATGTAGGTAAGAAATGACCGTGCTGCCACTTGAAAAGGCGCCCAAGTCAAAATCTTGCCCCTCATAACTCATTCCATTCCCCCCAAAGTACCACGAGCAGCTGATGCATCCGGAGTGATACTTTTCCTTTCCTTCTTGGGCTAGGTGCCGGCAAAGATCTCTTGACACCCCCTTTTCCCGAATTCCAGAAGGGTTGTAGAGGTCCACGAATTTGGCAAACTTGTAACTCCTCCAGATCCGTGTCCAGCGGTAAGCTTGCCATTTGCACCAGGCATTGCTGTACCAAAATCTCCACCTGAACAATTGAATTGTACTCCTGCGGAGCTGCCTGTATTATGGCCAGCACACTCTCCTTTTGCTCGGTCGAAAGGGCTTTCATGGCATACTCCAAATCCGCTTGTGCAATGAGAAGCGCTCCATCCTTGAGTGCCGTGGGATCTTCTGGAGGGGCACAAACTCCTCCTTCCTTCTTTTTGAAGTCCTCGAATTCCACTGAGCTCAAACGATTGGGTCGACGAGGAAGTTGTGGCGAGCTTTTTGTCGTAGGAGAGGGCGCACGAATGCCCCCCACCAAGCTCACCACTTGCTGAACTAGCTCGTTGTTCCTCTGCTCCATGGACTCCATAAAATAGGACATGTTTTGTACCTGCCGAGGAACTTTGACCAACTCTTCGGCTAGCTCTGATGTGTCGACTTCTTCTGCAGAAGCATTGTTCATTTCTGCATCTTTGGTTGTGTCCTTGTCGTCGTCCAAAGCTGACATTTCCTCTCGGAGTTGCTGAAGCTCTTGTGCATGGCGATGATCTTCTCGCTTCAGTCCTTCCATGATGCCACTCTTCCATCTCGAGTAACGGTCCTCCCGTTCTCGAACGGCTGCATCGATCTTCTCCTTCTTGGTCAAGACTTTCTTTTCGCGATTGAGTTCCCGTTGTTTCTCTCGTAGAGTCTCTCTCGGGTTCTCCTCGATCATCTTCTTGGCTTCTTCTTCTATGCTTCCATCCTCCGGGGTTTTCTGAGACAATCGCTTGACCATATCCTTCAACTTCCGGCTCTCCTCTTGCAATGCCGAAGCTTGCGAGGTAGACCCAGATGAAGAGGCACCACCAAGCGAAATGTCGACTTTTCGCCCATCCCAGGAATAGAGCACAAACTCCTCCTTGGACTTCTCTTTCTCTTTCCCCTTGGCCTTGGTCTTTGGTTCTGGCTTTTTGGCATCCTTCCAGGAATTTTTCCATTCCTCCGCCCTCGCATTCCATCGGCCCTGCTGTTTGCCCCATGTCATGCCGTGTCGCACAGCACCGTAGACAGGTCGGCTGTGGTGTGCTTGCAGGAGTCGGATGCACCTTGCCAGCTTGCAGGATTGAACAAAGGTCAAACGAGGACGTCCTCGACAGAACCAGATGTATCCCCGCGCCAAAGATCGCTTCTTTCGAAGCTTCCTGTGCCAAGTGGGACTGCGCCGATGCCCAACTATGGCTCGACGCACCGGTGCGACTCAAAAAAGAGTCTGGGGTCCGGAGTCGTTCCGTGACCTAGTGCGATCACAGCTATCTCTCGAGCCCTGTGGGGCCACCTGCCCAAGAGTGAAATGCTATACAATTGGATGATGAGGAAGTTATTCAATGAGGTGCCGTTGGTCCAGTTGGTTCGGGTTCGCGCGGCGTACATAACAGGAAATCAGTGACAAGGGCCTTCTCCAGCTGGGCCCGTTCGTGTGATCAATAGCCAAGGGATGTCAACACTAACGCATCAGCCATAAAAATACACCTGCATATGGTGTGTATACTATGGCAGGACCCAAAAAAAAAAACATGGAGGCCCACTTCTGTGCCGCGGGTGTAGCAAAACACACACCTGATGCAGGCTCTGCTCCATCTACTTCAGCCATCCACCTAGTGACCTTGCGCTCCTCCACACGGTCGAAAACGAACGCATCCCCCCTGCATCTCCGGACGTCGAATGGTGCATATCTCACCACCCCCCAACCTTCGAATGCGCGCAATGACGTAGATGGGCGCAGGTTCAGCGATCTGGGTGTCCCGGACACCCCGACTGGTGAGGAGGTCTCTGATGGCACGCGTCTCTCCTTTTGCGGCCAACGAACGAATGCAGCTGGTGGAGATTTGCAGGTGGGCAAGTGAATTGGTTTGCTTTGGAGGCTGGCCCAGCACAAGGAACTCCAACTGCGCAGCAATAGAGAATCACCTTAAGAGAAGCCCCAAGAAGGGTATTCCCCTTGACTTCCCTTCATGTCTGAACTGCCCCACCAGAACTCCCGAACCGAGAACAAAACAGCACACAGCCTTCGATCAATTGATCCGTTCGAGTCTGGAGGGCCCTGTCCTTCAGCCGCACGGTGGGCGGGACCGGCGGTTGTGCGACCAAGTCCCTGGGGCGAAGGACGAGGAGCTGACACCAACTGTTGGTGAAATGGTGACAGTCCATGGGAAGGAAGCCCGACCATTTTGAGCAAAAATGTGTTTGATGTTCACCACCTGGACCAATCTGGACCAGAACATGAAAAAAAGCAACATAGGTCATAGGTGAAGCATGGTGAAGCATGGTGAGGCTCCTATTAGAAGTCAACTCTTTGGCGCTAAGACCGGTCTTTCAAGATACCAACCAAAAGTATGTACAACATCTCCAAGAACTGGAGAGGTGACCCACCGCCTGAGGCCACGTTGAAGGAGTGAAACAGGAGGCTCCACCTGACAGGCTTGAGACGATACGTCCACCGGCTTGCCACGATGCGGCCACTCCACCCAACCCTCCCTGAAATCATCATGAAATCAAGTGGAGTGAAAAGCTGTTTGGTCTTGATTCTCCGAACTCGGGGCCATGCCATCCAGCTTGGACCCTGATGATTTCAGGGAGTGCACCTTTGCTTCGAGCAATCCCCACCCTGAGAGGCGATGTGAAAAAGTTTTTGCTGACTGGAGGGTGGGTCACTTATATACCTGGTCGAACGCTTCTTTGTGTCAAACGGGCATGCGGCAAGCCCGTTCGACTCACGACGTTCGTGGCCGGCTCGCCGGGGGTGGATGTGAAGGCCGCACATTTGCTGCTTCATCCCCAAATCCGTGCGGTCTCAATCTACTTGGGAGGTGCCCACTCAAGATGCTGGCTAAAACCGAACCCAGTGCAAAACAATGTCTGGCATTCGGCATGGGCTCGCTGCTTCGCCCATGCCGAAGGATCCATTTCGCATTCGGTGAGCCAATTCTTTGGCGAACAGCACCCTCCTTCTCTAACAAACAGAAGCCGTGAACTGGGAGGTCGGACAGCAAGACCCAGTAAACACGTGGCTCCACGTCCGCTGGTCGAAGTGAAGCATGGCCCATTGAAGGACTCTTCTCCGAAGACCACCCAAAGGTCTTCAAGGTCTTCCACTTCCATGGTGGAACGGCGAGGTGAACATGCCCCTGCCACAACACTCATACCATCATAACAGACTCCGTGCTTGGTCCTCTATGGAATTACTATCAGGTGACTCTATAAAATGCCTTCTGACTCTATAAATGCCTTTTGAACCCTCATTTTATAGAGACCTGTTTTGTAGTGCTGCCGGATCATTTGACAGCATTTTACAGAGAGGCTGTTTGTTGGTTTTAGTGGTGTATTTTTTGCAACCTGGCAAGAGCATTTTGTAGAGGAGTGGAGGGCTGACAAACGCATTTAGCTTGAGATCTGGATTTGCGTTTCATAGAGAACATGCTGTGAGAGCATCTGGGTCTGGTGTTGCATCTTAAAATTAATTTAGGGGTTGACATATGTGACAGCGATAGCAGCTGATAGCACCTGGCAATAACATTTTATAGAAAGAACATGTGTGCAACATTGTATAGAGGGGCGGGTAGATCCTTATCCAAAGCCATCAGGATGCATTTTCAAGTCTGCTGGATCTGACTAGGCATTTTATAGAAACACCTGTGCCAGTCATGTTATAAAGAACTGATCCTTTGCCACCTATTTTATAAAGACCATTTCTCTATAAAATGCCCGCCTAATGACTCCAGTGTCTAAGCAAGGAGGATATCATAACTACAATCTCAAGCAATCTCATATCATCTTGCATCCAATCGATCTGTTTTTGTTGCGTCTCAGGGAAAACCATCGAAGACATGATGTCTGCGACGTCTCCCATGTATCGCCACCGCCTTGCGGCGCTCGAGCGGTGCGCTCCGGGGCGCCAGGAGCACCTGCTCAACGGTCGGCGGGGAGAGAGGTTCCTGGTGACGCAGGGAACACGGAGAGTCAACAAGGCGGGGCTCCTCTCTGAGCTTTGACTAGTGACTAGTGACTAATACACCTCCTCCCCAAGTTTTTGGGATTGAAACACCTCTTCATATTCTTCAGAAATAGGGAAGGGAAAGGATGGGAAAGGCCTCTATTGAATGGTTTTGGGCGTGGGGTGAGTCATATATATAATGTCTAGGATGCCCACCAAAGGGCGAACAGTTCCGCAACCACATCGGACATTTTTGAGGTGACGTGTTTGGGACGTATTATAATGGAAGTACTACCGAAACACCTCCACAACGAAAACCTTCGAAGGGCTGGAAATGGTGATATAATTAATTGTGATACTCTTCGTTTCCTCTGCAACGAAGTGTGGTCATGTGCGGTCCTATGGCCAGTCCCTGGTTCCGTGCGTTCATTTGGTCACATTTTCCAGCACGAGTCATGGGCGACATCCCTTCCCAAACACTCCGTAAAACCTGTATACTGTATATTTGCATAGAGAAAGGTGTGGTTTCAGGGGCCAATGCACGCATATACATGGAGTGTCTGGGATCTGTAGGAGCGAGAAAGCTGCGCTCGACACATCTCCACTGCTTTTCTTTTTATCTCTGTGGAACCCGTCGTGATGGTTCCTTGCGATCCTCCGTGGTTCAGGATTCTGGGGTTGGATTTGGGTGGACTCCCAAAAGGATCCCGGAATGATGCCAAGCATCACAAACAAAAAACCAAAGCAACCAACATCTGTCACAGGGGTCGATACTTCTGGGGATTCTTTGAAGATCCAATTGGCAAATATGTTGAAGATGTTGCAGGTTGAAGTCAATGCTCAGTAGCTTGATGGTCTATTTTGGAAGGTTGGAGGTGGCGTCCACTGTGATATGCATGGCGGTTGTTCTTCCCAGGCGCAGATGGCGGCATGAAAAGCCACTCAACACCCATTGCCATGTCAAACTAGATATGTTGGTTTTCTTCTCACATGTGACGTATGCCGCCGATGCTGCGTATGTAGGGAAATTGACCAACCTGCGGATCAATCAGCTGAGCAACCCATGCAACCCCCTCACAAATGGACCAGGGCCTTGAAAGAACAACAAACACCATGCCGCATGCCCCTAATTACACCTACCGACCATCCCGAAGTAACCTCCATCAGTGTTGGTCTTGGATCTGTGCCCTCTTCCCAACAGTGGCCGAAGCCCAAAGCACCTTGTTCTCCAAGCTTTCACCTGCGCCCATGGACCGATTCGCCGAGTCCTCGAAATCGAGCTGCATGACTCGACCCAGCCTTCGCTCCTGGATGATATGACGGCATTTGACAGCCCTTCCAAATCGATAGCCCGTCCTGAAACCCAAGAACTGGCATTTCGTTAGAAGGAGATCGGGTGGAGTGTGGGCCAAGACCTGGACGGCGTCCGTGTGTGTTACATCTGGACAATGCAGCTCTGCGTGGATGCGATCCCTTGGAAATTTATGTTTTTAACAAGCGAACAAAAGTAATTCAATGCAAAAAAACACCAATGTGAATCACTCCGGAAAGCAAAAAACTGTTGAAAGTGAACGAAGAAAAGGATGAGCAAAGACCGTATTGAACATTGATCTGTCTTTGGTTTACGTTTTAGCATCTTTCAATGAACTGCTTGTAGAAATTGCTTTTACATTCCACTTCAGCGCATGTTGTTTTAGCATTTGTTGCTGGCAGTTCTTTGGAAGTTCTGGGCCCTTCTATGATCCGGCTTCCTCAAATCAATCTACAAGGTGCCTTCAGATTCACTTCGACTGTCGACTTGGTGTGCACCACCCTTCTCACCCTTCTCACCCCGCGTTCCACCAGAGCGGGTTCACCAGTGCCTGGCGTCTTGCGCGGCAGGAGCTTCACTTCCACCTCCTGGCCTCGTTCCGACGACGAGATGAGTGGTGTCTAGGTGCGGATGGGTTCCACGTCTGGGGGAATTGTCCAACATGTTTTGTACGACAAGGCCAAGCGCTCTACGAAAGTTCCTGATGTTACATATGATTACAAATGTTGGAGCCAATCAGCCCATCCTTTCGAAGGGGATGGGATCCTGGTCAAATTTAGAGGAATCTAGCTGGGGGATGTACTCCCATTCAAAAGCAATGGAACAGAGCGCCCCGTAGTGCAAACATCTCTCAAAGTCAAGAAGGAAGTCGTCACTCAAACTGCTCCTTTGTTCGCTTCATCACCATCAGCTTCACCGTAGAAGGTTATATAGGCAGTTCAATCAAGACGAGGGTGACAGATGACTTCCGTTGATTAAACAAATTTTTCACCATATACCCTGTGAGCATTGTCCCTGAGCCGAGTTGAATCATAACTGCCATGCTGCGAAGGCCCCAACATATTGGTATAATTGCCGAATTTGTTAAGCGGCCATTGACTGCAGAAGAACACCTGTCTCATTTTTGTTTTGCGCCTGTCCATGCTTCAACGGGACCTGCCATGGGCCTCCATTGGAATAGGAATCCAATGGTGATCCAGCTGAATCGAACATCTCCCCAACCAAAAAAACATAACAACCAAATGGTGGGCTCCATTCCGTGTTGTTCAAAACACCGACCATACCTCACATGCCTCATCCTTTGCATGGTGGAAGCAAGCTCATCCTGCTCGGGGACCCGTGCCGGATGAAGGCACGGAGCGTTCTTCCCCGCCCAGGGCACCTGGAAGAGCCTTGGTGATTCCCCGGGCTCCGGCAGTCCGAGGAAACGACCAAGTCTCATTCAAGAAATGATGACCAGGGCAGAACGGACCGTGGGAGACTTTTTGATCGCCAGAAAATGGAGCTGAAGATAGAAGACTTGCATCTTGATCTTAGTTAGTCCTTGATCTTATGTCTGCAAATGCTTCATGTTCCATTCGCTTCTACAAGGTGCTTGGTGGTCTCATCTGCTAGTCGTGTGTCGTTTCTTCCCTCTTCCGGACCTGAGACTCAGAGGCCGAAGCACCAAGGGACGTGCTTCGTGGCGCTCCACATGTTCAGCTAAAGCTTCTTCCAAGTAAGTTGGCTTGATGAGCATCCATCCACAACCAGTTCGTTACTTTTGAGCTTGATTGGAGAATGGCAAATCCTTGGATGTTTGAGGCAAGCCTCTAAGTAAGTAGTACAAGACGATGGGACGGAGAAATGCTGGCATCTTCTTGACATGGTTAGACCCCTTGCGATGTGTCCGAACACACCACTGAACCTATGCCCTATGTCCCTATGTCCCCAAAACTGTGTGATGCCTGAGAAACTCAGACTTTGGACTCCAGCATGGGATATTGCATGATAAACCTGGCCACCATGGGTGACAACATGTCCACAACTGGTCACGAGAAAGCAGTCCACCGCGTCCACCCTCAGCGTCCACGGCGCGCCTCGCACCCGAAAAAAGAAAAGGAAAAACACACACACTCAGCTGCAGGCTTGCTCCAGCCTGAGCGTGCGTGGCGGCTGAAGAACCATGCACCACGCACTCTTGGCGCAAGGCAAGCTTGGTGTAGAAGCCCAGCAGGAAAGCATGGAATATTCACAAGTGACGGTGGCCGTTCTACCAAATCTCTGCGTCATAGTCACCTGCTCCTTCCAGCCGCTTTTAGGTTGAAAGAAATTAAGATCCATCCGACCCAAGGTCCGAGAAGTCTGAATACAACCTCCGGGCCCGGAGTGATCTGTTTGAATCTGTTCGTGCGAAGTGACACGACTTGGAGCGGAACAGACACGTGGGGGGCCACAGCCATGTCACGAGAAATGAATGAATTCGACCACAGCCATGGCTGTCGGGGCTGGAGGCTTTGTGAGCGCAAAAGAATAACAGGAGTTACGGATTGTCTTACTATTGTACACCAGCAGTTAGAATACACTTTTCTATTTAAAAGCAAAGAGAATAGTCTATCTTGTGGTGAACTATTGTAATTGATGCACTTACCTTCCAGAAACAGCACCCTGGAATCAGTATATATAATGTTTTTCTTGCTCATTCTTGGCACATGAAGCACATCCTACAAAACCCAAACCTCAAATTGTCTGCAAGGAACACATCATGAGAAGCAACCTAGGCACGTGGACATTTTTGGCCTTAAGTCTGGTTCTGACGGAAACGACCAGGACCATGCCAGAAATCAATGCTACAACCACGCCCCCGGAATTCCAAGCACGCCTTGCTGTGTTAGCGGCTGGAGCGTGTACCATCTGCAGAGCTAATCTCCGTACAAAGAGGACCGGAGAGAGTTCAATGTCTCTTGTTACGGGCCTGTCTTGCTGGCAGATTGCCAGGGGTTCCACTGGTTGGTCTGGCTGGTCCCATTATGAAGAGTGGGAAAACGTCTGCCCTGGCAAACAATCAATTGTCTACCACCTCCTTGAGAGCAGCCATCTCCTTGCTAAGGCTGCCACAAGCGTCTGGCGGCCATAGCAGTCGGTCCGATCGTGCTGGCGAACTGAAGATGGAATGGTGACTTGCAATATTTCTGCAAATGAACTATGGGAATCGGTGGGTCCTTCTGGCTTCTTCTCTATACGTACTTGTTGCCTGTCCATGCGTGCAATTCGGTTTATGTTTTGAACGGGTGTGCTGTCAAGGGGTCAAGGGGGCCGAACATTCACCCCAAAGCAAGGTCCTTTTGTCTCTTCGTCAATTGCCAGGCCATATAATGTATGCTCACAATGTGACACTCCCCTTCCTGCGGCGGTAGGTAGATACGTAGGTTCCTCGACACTCCCCTTGCTGCGGCAGGTAGGTTCCTCGTTTTAGCAAAGCAGGAGTCTGAATAGCATCGCTAGCCTGTCGCTACAAAACAACAAGAGCTACTGAGCCGGAAAAGCAGCAATGCAAGAGGAAAATTAATGCATATCAAAAGTGAGAGTATTGTAAAATACCTATTCAGGAGGTCGTCTCACCTGAGCTTTTGACCCACAACCGGGGCTTATGCATGTGATTACAAACACACACAAACCGCGACAATCCTCTTTAAAGCAATTACAGAAATAGCAATTATAAACTACGTCTCAACTGCCCCTCTCCAAAAAAGAAGCAACTCCTATATACACCATCTGGAACCCAAAAAGAATACAATCAGCACCCCAACAGAAAAAGCTTCTTACATATCTTATATGCATATATATATATATATATCAAAATCACCGCTTGGGGGTGGTGCAAGTTGCACCAGGACCACTGAGTGCCTCATTGGGGAGCAGCCTTGGGGGGGCCGGGCAGTACATGTTCCTGTACAGGGGAACTGTCAACAATCAAGGAAACAAGTTACATCCTGGAGCAAGTAGCAGAAAATAAATAGACAGTAAATAAGGCTACATAGATGCCTCAAAAGCATATTCTGTCTTATCATGTCTGTCTTATCTAACAACTGTCAAGAAACTCCCTAGACAAAGCAAACTATCGATAAATAATTCTATGATTTGGCCCCGTAGGTTCCAGCTTTGGAGTAAATGTGCCGACTGGCAATCCATCATTGCTAGCTTGAGAAATACATCCAACTGTTTCCCTTTTCACCTGTTCTACAGGGAGTTCGAAGAACTAAGAACAACTTATAGAGAATGGCTTATAGGGTCATAGGGCCTTGCTGGGTTCTCTAACCAATGACCACACACTTGGGAGTCACTTGGGTCGGCCTCACACGAAAGCCGGAGCCCCACACAAGCACGCACGCACACGTAACCATTCTGCGAACAAGCCTTTTGTCCTAAGCCTGCAAAATTGTGGTTCTGAAGGCTCCCCTAAGCCTGTTGAACAACACACCCATCTCTGAAGCTGCCCCACAGCTCAGCAGGAAATCCTCCAAGCCTGCTCCCCACCAGCGTCACCTTTCCACGCTCCGGCAGTCGCTTTCCGGGCTCAAACGGCGTCCAACGCGGGGTGCCGTCCGACGGGCGCCGCGTGTTCAGCGGGACCCTGACAGTTCCGGAGGCTCGTTTCGGGGCTCCTGCGGAGGGGGCGTGGTGTGGCATGATCTCCGATGTTTCAGCGAGCGAGTGGTAGCGGAGTGGTCGAGCGACTCTCGAAACAGCGCAACCCGTGGCTGGCACTTCTGCTCGTCCTGCTTTGAGCTCGAGACGGGCGCGGGTTGTGCAAGTGCTAGCTTGTCCAAAGGCGCGTAGGGAAGGAGACGAACTAATGCATATTAGGTGTAAAATGTGGAGTGGTACTTGTCTTCCAACCTTTTCCTCCCCTTGCTCATGGGTCTGAAGATGTCTGAAGTCCGTTCATCCTTCTCGAGCTGCTCGCAGAAACAGCATGGCTACGCTATGAGAAACATTCGGAAGTCTCCACCAAGGCCTCCCCCTTCGCACAGCACGCTGCTGACACGACGTCTCACGTCTCACGTTGAGCCCATCTTCCGAACTCCCAAGGTCCGTAATTAGGCGATGTCGAGGTCAAACAGTCCAATCTTCCTGGATACTATTGGACTGAGGGTCAAACATAGCTGCTATATCAGACAGTGATTCAGTGATAGAGTTCTATAGGCTATAGGTATATAGAGATGTGGTCCCCCCAAAAAAAAGAGATATGGATTCGGATTGGACTGCTTGATCTCCTGAAAAATTTTTCCTGAGGGTCAAGTCTAGTTGCTGCATGGATGTTTTGGGGTTCGATCCATCTGCTTCTTCAGCCCATACGGCAAGGCACTGCGATGTGCAAGGGGGACTGCCCGCGAGGAGAGCAAGAAACAGCTCAGCATTGGTGCGGAGAAGTGCTCTGGTACGTGTTTCTTGGGGGACATGGCTTGTGGTGCTTGTTCCGAAAACACCAACGAAGCACACAAACAAATGATGGATGTCCCTCCAGCCAACCCGAACAGGTGCCACACCTATGCAGCTCAGACATTGATAATTGTCTTTCCCTTCTGGAGGAATTGGAAGACCTCCTTGGCGACCTCGCACGTGTACTCGAGTTCAACATGCCATACATTTACATGCACCCCGTACTCCGTACCCTATAGTTCGCAAATGTCAGTAGAGAACATTGATTACAGCAAGAGGATGTAAGAGGAGTGACTGGTTCCACCGCGGGCTGATCTTCAATTTGACAAGGAATTGGACATGTGTCTGTACTTCTAATCGAAGTATCCACATCCAAAATGATAAAACTGCATTTAACTTTGGATCAGCAAAGGCGGTGCTACCAGAGCCACAGTGCATAATCTAGCAGTGGGGGTCCACATTGAAGAGAAGCTCCAAACAAACCAGTGCAAACAATTGCAAACATGTGGGTGACCCTTTGCATGTCAAAGAAAGTCATCTGGATATCATCCGGATATATAACGCACGAAGATCGGATTCACCTGAATTTGGCCTCGCAACCTATCACTGACTGTGAGAACAAATCACAACTGACTCAGTCATTCTCAAAGTTTAAACCTCGTTCACCGATCCAGCAAAAAATGAAACCGAAGGCATCTACCGACATCTGTGCAACATCGTTTTTTTGCCTGCTTTTGTCGCTCGAAATCACACCAGCGTTCGCCACAGGTGGTTCTTTAAATAGCAGCCACAAAAGCAGGCCTCCACCTTGTCGGGATTCTTGTCAGGATGCCAGTCCCTGAGCCTTGGGTGCGCTAAACTGGTGGAGAACGGTGGAGAACGCGGATGCGGATGGGGCACTGGGACCAACTCACCAGTCAGATTGCCTTCTGAACGGCATCGATCCTTCTAGTGCAGCGTCTAAGTGCTTCGTCTCACAAGCTGCAGGGTTCTACAAGGCGATCAGTGCTGAAGAAACAATTCACAAGAAGGTTTTACAAAGCTGGTGTGGATCCACATCCAGCTAGTGCCGACAAATCATGGATTGATGCCTGCCTAACTTCAACCAACCCTGGGCCTTATTTTCCATCTTTAGGGCAGCTGTGACTCTGACCCTTCACCTCTTGGGCTCCCGACAAGGCTCTCCACTCCTTAGCTCTCGCCTCTTTTGGCTCCAAGGACTGCAGCGCGTTGCTCGGTTCATTCGGTTCACGGGTCCGGGACGAAGACTGGGCCGGGACGAAGATCCGGAATGGACCATGAAGCTGGAAGAATATCCAATGCGTGTAGAACGAAATTCGGATGATCTCACATCATCGCCATCGTCGAACCAGTAGTCCACCGTCCACACCGTCGGGAAACAGTGCGCAAAAGCCGGAGTTCGTCTGATCTCACCTGCAGCTTCCTGAGCTTCTCCAGCGCTTCAAGCTTCGCCTGGAGAACCGCAGAACATCGGCGAAAGCGATTGCGCGATGTCGCACCCCAAAAAAAAGAAACGTGAATGGAGAGTAATTTGATGGCACAATCCCCAAGGTTGGTGCCTGTAAAAAAGAACACATTGGGTTTGTACCATCTACTCTGAGTCCACTCTAGGTGTCCTGTGGCGCTTTGCATCGGTCGCTCTAAAGAACTCGCCGTTCCGCCGGCGCGAACGGGCGCACCTGCTCGATCTCAGGAGTGCTCTTGGCCTTGTCCTTTGAGTTGCCTTTCACCTCCACCTTTTTGGGGCTCCGGCTCCTTGCAGGTGGGGAGCTGCGGCAAGTCACTGCTTTCTTGGCATCGACTGGATCGATCCCAGCACAGCCTGAGAGATCTCCACTTCTTAGAATTGACGGGGAATGACCACTAACATCCACTAACCACTAACCTGCCTATCTAACCTGTCATAGATAGGACTGGTCTATTGGACGAAAGAATCAAAACGCCCTGGTTCTTTCGCTTCACTACGGCTAATCACTGGTCAAATCGCACCGAGGGCTCCTGCTCCTCACCTCCTCGAGACTACTACTGGAACCTCAGCTGCAAGCTGGGGCCTGTGGGCTCTCGGTGGCTGGTACGGTAGCCAGAACTGGTGGTGTGAGATGTGGGGGACACCAGGCTACCACTGCTTCGCCACTGCTTCGCCACTGCTTCGCCAGTGCTTCGCCCGTGTTGGCAAGCGCCTTATTTAAAGAAAAAGACTCAGCCCACATCTGTCCACCAATCTATTGGAGGCATCCTAAACCTCGGCCGCTGTGCCTGCGGCGAGGACCACATGCACTGATGGAGTTGAGCCAGTGTTTGGCCACGCGCCGCCAGAATTGGCGCGTGACGCTTCTTTTCAACAGGGTTTAAGCGGCAGCCCAAGGCTGGTGCCAAACAACATTAGAGGCCTAGTGTGGGATGCCTGGAAAGGATTCCAAGAATCTACCCCAAGAAAAGCAAATCAAGTGGAGATCAACAAACGTTTTCTGAAAAAAATAACACTTTAATGGCAATCCTTTCACGGCCCTTCTTTTTGTCCCCTCTCTCTCTCTCTCGAAATAACACAGTACTACTTGCTGTATGTCCCTTTAATCGTTGAAGTTTCATCAATGCAAACATATATTTGACCTCATCACGGCGCAACAGCGGACGGCTGCATCATATGTACAGTACGGCTGCTTGTTTTGTTCAGGCCCATTGTGTCACAAAGGCATGATGTTGATCCCGCAAACATGCTGCAGGTTCTCACTCACCACCTGCCTCGCCTGTGAGCAAGAGCGGGAAGCTGGCTCCACAATTACCAAGTGGCACCACATGACCTAGAAAGCATCTAAACATGCCCAACATGTTGCCAAACAAAGTAAATCCAGCACGTTACACAACCACATCCCACCGAGCCCTCTCACCGAGTCCTTCTCTCCCCCGACCAAACCGGTGAACCGATCGACCTCCACGGTGTACCACGACCAATCGACCTCCACGCATCGCCTTGTCAGGCTCCGGCGGCAGCTTCGCCTTGTCGCAGGCGCTGGCGGAGCTGGTCATCACACGGCGCAGCGCTTGCAGCGCCGGCTGTTGGCCTGGGAGTTCCAATGGGTTCTTCTTCGGTGGGATTTTGGTTGGTACCGAAATGGTGAACCTTTGGGAACTTCGAGGTGTGGCTCTTTTGAAGGGGCCCCGCACCTTATAAGGGACCCCGCCGGCATCGGAAAACCGGTGGAACCTGAAATCTTCGGAAAGCCCCTGTCCTTCCACACGGTGCAGACACCCAACAGGGCCCATTTTCCTGGCTTTGAAGCTCTGTGGCGTGAAGAGGATGGAAAAGAAAGTGATTTGCCAATTCCAAGGGCCACGAGACCACATAAGCACGTCGTATATAATACCTGAGAAGGGGGGGGCGAAAGCCAGCAGCCGCCAGATGAGTGTCTCTTTTTTTGGCGGGCGTCGCGGCACACAAGACACATGGTCGGCAGCTTGCGAGTCACCGGAGCTGCGGATGCGGGGGGGTGTATGTAATGGTGAATCACAGGCAATGGCATGTGTTTGTCACACGCAGGAGGGTATGCATCTTATGGAAGCTGGAGGGCGACATCAGCGTTAGCGAAGGGGCATACCATCTGAGTCCGGCATGGTGGTATACCACGTGCGTGCGTGCGCGCCGCGCGCGCAGGAAGACCTTCTCCATAGTGAGCGCGCGCGCCGCGAGTGTGCAGGAAGACTTTCTCCATGAAAGGAAGCAATTATGTGTTTGTTACAGTTGGAGGGTTTGAAGTTTGCAACGCATACTGCGGCACGTCGAAAAGCGGCATTCGTTGATTTGGAAGAGTGAACGGGCACGTCTTACCGGGACACGGACGTTTGATCCCGCGGCGCAGAAGGGGAGGTCCAGCGCAAGTGGCTTGGGCTAGCAAAGGAGTGAGGATTTGTGTGCCTATCATGCCTGGACTTGAGTGAGTCATGTTCTGGCTCGATCCAAAACACACACTTTTTCCTTTAAAGGGGCCTTTATTGTATAGATCTTTGGGCCGTGGACCCAGGCTGACTGGATTCGGCCAGGGCTGCCAGCAAAAAGGCGACGTCATGAGTCAGTAGTACATAGAATTTATCTATCTACCTATCTATCTCTATCTCTATCTCTGTCTCTATCTACAGTATGTATGTATGTATCTATCTATCTATCGATCTATCTATCTGCACCGGCAAGCCGGAAAAACGTTCGGTGCGTGTGAACGCCGCGAGAAGCATCCACTCGACCGAGGACATGGTGCAAGTATTGTTTTTGCTAGGGGGCAGGAACCCTATGCGGATATGTAGTCAACCTCGCAGGCGTCCCCACCGAAACTCAATCCAAATTCATGGACTTGAACTCATGTCACTTTCGGCTCTCAATGGATTTCGCGAGTTACGGGTTGTCCTGGGAACTCGTATCCTACATGCGGCTGCGGTCTGCTCTGTACGTGGGTCCCAGTCTCCACTCGATTGCTCAATGCCCATTGTCCAAATAGCCTCCAAGGCCCTTCATGATGCTGATGATGCACTACTCGGCGTCCATTGCATCACTCGCATCACCAGACACAATTTTCACTGCTTTTTCTGACCCTCACTTTGGAGCTCTCCCCCACCAAGCTCTGGGTTCACCCTCTCAAAAATCCCTCTCAACGACCACCCCCCCCCACCCCCTTAACTCACTTCGTTCGCTCTAAAGCTAGCCTATCGGCTGGCTTTCGCTATGTATATATATATATAAACACCATTATTTTCTGAGCTCCTCGATTTTTTGAACCCATCATGACCACTCTTGCCCAACTGCGGCGAGGGACAGAAGGACAGCGTCAGGTCAGCGGCAATGTACTTTTGCAAGCCACTCGCCAGCCCTTTATGGTTGAGTCAGTGGTTAAGGTTGAGTCACCGCTGGGAGGCACGGGTGGGATGTTCATCGAGGAGAGTGCTCCAGCTCTATCAGTATCACCAAGAGAAGTGTTTCCTCCCGAATGGTCTTGCAATCCATGGTGCACAAAACATCATGAAACTGAAGGCCCAAGGTTTCCAGCCCCAAACATTGTTTTTTGAGGCTTGCCTCGGAGTCTTGCCGCAAGACTCATAGCATGGTTCAGTTGGATCCAGTCTGGGTTGCCCTCATTCGATCTCATTCTGACTCATTCCCTCTGTTCCCTGAACTTCCAATGATTCACTTTACCCCACCTGGCAGTCATCCACCACAATCAGCAGGAATAAAATGAGTCAGGCTTTCACTCTCATGGCGTTGTTCATTGAACCACCCAACTGGACTCTCTGGACTCGTCGCCTTCCACGTAGGCCAAGGGGATGTGTGCCGCCACGTCGGGCCAGGCAGGGAAGGAGTGTCGATAGTCGGTCACCGTCGCCTGGAGAAGCTTTGTCTCCTGAGCCGAAGCTGTCCACGATGGGGCCGTGTAGGTGTCCGGCTGAGCCATTGGCATCCATTCATCATACCACATATATAGTTCATAAATATATATATAATATATATATATATATATTTATTTATTTATTTATTTATACATATATTACATATATAAAGAAGCTGTGAGCACTATTTTGGCCCACTTCGCAGCAGGTTTCTCAAACTTTAAAAGTACAAACACGCAAG